ACGACATAATACAATTTCTGCATTTCGCGAGATATCACTCCAAAGGTTGGGTTTTTAACCCATTCCAACGTTAAAGCATGCATTTTTATCCTCTTTTAAGTTCATATACAGATTACATACTTGTTTAACTCATTAACATGCCAAGAATTCACCTTTACACCAAGAAAACTCAAGATCAAGGTTGGTGACACTTACCCATGGTTAAAACAGAGCAAGAAGGTGCTCTTGGAGCTCACTTGCAGCTCCCAAAGTCAGGCCAAGCAAAACCCACGAAAATGGTGATCAAGAATGGTTCTTTCACACTAAAGGTCACTCCTTGGAGTTCAAAATGCTAGAACACAAGCTCCCTCAATAAAGTCCAAGGACTCAGCCCATAAAACTCTTCAAAACAGAAGATCAACTCAGTAACAAGGTCCCTCACCCACTCCCAAGGCTTTATCTCACACACACAAGGATGTTTGGTGAAGGAAATAAGAAGGGAAACCCCTTGGAAGGTCAAGAAATGGTGAAAAATGACAATGACAGCAGCCACAAGAAGCAACCCACGTTGAAATGGCTGAGTATCAGCCTAGGGTTGTGTGCAACCCTCTATTTATAGGCGGTTTAAGATAAAACACACAGTATTAGCGCTAATAGCTATGCTTAGCATTTTAATCCCAAACTTAGGATTCTGAACCTACTCATTTTTCTAAGATTTATCATATTTTTATTTTATTTTTCGCAGCACCTTTCCGGTACGCGCTTTTCCATAGCCAGTGTCATTTCTGACACCAGTTCTCATTATTTTAACTTGAAACTTTTTTTACAAGTCCTATATATTATTCTAGTGACATATACATGCTTTTCATAATTTTCTGGGATACTTCACCGATACGCATTTATACTGAGTAGCAGAACCGGTATTTGCACTTTTCGTCCGAAAAGCGACTTCCAGCATTATTAATCACTTACCAATATTATTTAAGCCTTATAATAATTATTTGGGTCAATTATGAAATTATTTCCTAATTATTCATAATTAATTAATTAACTTCCTTAATTAACGGTGCAGGTTCTTACACTATGCCCTGGAGCAGGATAAGGCATGGGATATGAACCTTCCACTGGTAGAGTTATCCTACAATAATAGTTTCCATTCCAGTTTGGGTATGGCACCTTATGAGGCTTTGTATGGCCGGCGGTGTAGATCACCTACTTGTTGGACTGAGGTTGGAGAGAGGCAAATGATTGAGCCATACTTGGTACAGGACACTTCTAATCAGATCAAAATGATCAGGGATAAATTGAAACAGGCACAGAGTCGCCAGAAGAGCTACTATGATCACAAGCATCGACCTCTGGAGTTTGCAGAGGGTGAGCATGTCTTTGAGAGGTTGTCACTCGTGACATGTGTGGGGCATGCTCTCGGAGTAAGGATGCTGAGTCCCAGGTTTATCGGTCCCTATCAGATAATCAAAAGGGTGGGACCGATTTCTTATCAGCTTGTCTTGCCTCCACAGTTATCCGGTATTCATGATGTATTCCACGTGTCTTAGCTGCGGAGATATATTCGAGATGAATCCCATATTTTGTAGCCTGATGAGGTTCAAATAAAGGAAAATCTAAAAATTCCTGTGAGGCCGTGGAGACTTCTTGATAGAGACGAAAGAAAATTGAGGAACAAGTCAATTCCTATGATCAAGATTCAGTGAGAAGGTAAGACGTCTGAGGAGGCTACTTGGGAGCGTGAGGATGAGATCCTCCGGCTATATCCTGAGTTTGTTTCTAAGTATGATCCTAATTTTGTAGACAAAATCCTAAAAAGGTGGGGTGAGTATAATAACCCTCACATGTAGTTGTTGAATTAATAATTTTAATCATGTTATTGAAGAATAATTATAAGAAAAGTAGAAGAAAAAGAAATAAAGTCACATTTGGTGAAAAAGGAGTTAAAATGGCAGTTAATGGGTAAAAATGCGGGTAAATAAAGTTACTCAAAAAGTGAAAATAAATGTGAAAATATTACCACAAAAATATTGTAAACCAATGTGTAAAGTCGGATTGAGAATTAAGTTAGCGGAGTAGATAAAAGTGTACACACATGGTGAGTACATGTCACTTAAGTACCAAAACACACCTTATTTCTCCTTCTCCTCGCTGCAACCAGACGATGCTAAGGAAGGTTTCCTCTTTTTTTCTTTCAATCTTCATCCTTTGATAACTTGAGCTAGGATTGATGAAATCAATCCATTCCAAAGCTTAAAGTGTGTCAAATTTCATCCTCTACAAAACTCATAGCTTAGTCTTAGTTGGAAGTCATTATATTGAGAGATTTCTGCATCTCTAGGTCGTGGTACTGTTCACAAAGAGAAGAAAATGTTTTTCTTGGCTTGAAGGCTCGGATTGTCTTTCTCTTAGTGATTTGTAGCTTCTAAGGTAAATGCCCTAACTCCCCTCTTGTGTTTTTGGAGAAAATGCATGACATAGGGTTGTATAAATTGGGATTTGATGGTATCAGTAGTTGGAGGGTGATTTGTAGGTGAGTCCATTTGTTAAATATGCTTGGGATTGGTTCCCGTAAAAGGAAAAATTATGAAATGGTCGTTTACAACACTTTGATAAATTGGACTCAAAATCAAATGTAGGTGTAGTATGAGACGGTGTTTCCTCATACGGTATGTTGCAAGACGGTATTTCCTTTCGTAATGCATACGTGCTACATTCTCTAGCTAGTAGGATTACATTATTGCACACTGCATTGTAATACATATTCTGATGCATGCATGAATTTTTATACTGTGTTTATACCATAAGTGAGCTTAGGGGTGAAGGAGCCCTCCAAGGGTCCCTAGCTTACTGAGGTAATTATATTATCTCATCCCGTGTTATGGGGATTATCATTTCAGGTACAGGAGCTGATGGTGCTGAGGCATACAGTGGCAAGAGGCCAGACGAGAGATATTACTTGACATGATTGTCAGGGTCTTATGGATATTTAGATTTGTACCTGACATACTTTATTTTGAGTTGTATACGACATGTATTTTCTTGAGAGCATAGGAGATGTGTATGCCATGTCGATAGTTTGTACATGTTGTTAGTGATTCATGCTCTGGTCTATGTTACTTATTTAATTGTATCTCTTTTGTTTATTTGATATAATTATATAAGTAACATCATGGACGTTATTTTGAGGCAATATGATTATGAGATAGCCTAGGCCATGGATGGTTGGCCAATATGTTTTATCTATGTTATGGTATGCCCGGATTACATTAAACTGTCAATCAGGTTGAAATTATCATGGTGGGAATTATCCCCAATGGTTCAAAATACAGACGAAATGATGTCCATTTTATTTTGGCAATGGAAGTGAAAAAGTTTACAATACATAAGAAAAAATAAGAAAATTCAATCAGTTATCTTTTGCATTAATTAAGTTGAGCATGCTGTGCTTACTATCATATGAATGTTAATTAACCGGCTGCAGACGGAGCGTTACAAAGGTTGCAATAAGAAAGTGGAGAAGGGATGATACAATTTATGGTCTTTTTTTCTTCTTACTGATAGATATTTAATGGCTAATATGCTTCAGCTATATCCATATTTGTCATATAATTAGGCTACCATTATTTTCTAACAATAGAGGATGATTGTACTTGTTTTACAGGGGTCTACTTACTTTGGCTAAATATGATGTCGCTAACATTTTTCCCAAGTTTTTCAACATGATACTCACCTAATTTGGCAAGCAAATCAAGACTGTTAGAACATATAATGTCAAGGAACTGGCCTTCACCGAAGTCTTCAATTCTCAGAGAGTTTAGCACCAATTTTCCCGGTTGGAAAGACCTCAGCAGAACGCAGTGGTTGAGAGGAAACATCAACATATTTTAAATGTAGCCAAGGCCATTATTTTTAGTCTCTAATTCCTTTCTCTCTTTAGTTAGATTGCATCACGATTGTTTCCTCATAAATAGAGCAGTCTCTCCATTGCTTAATTTCAAGTCTCCCTATGATTTGTTGTATCACAAGGAGGTTGATTATTCTTCATTCTGGGTCTTTGGCTGCCTGGCATTTTCATCTGCTCTCTCAACTCATGGTCGTTTTATCCTAGGGCCCGTGCTTGCGTCTGCTTAGGCTATGCTCTTTATTGGGATCGAGCAATCACACACATAATTGCAACACAGAAAAGAGAGAAGCAAAAAAAAGAACGGAAGTTATCCTAGTTCATCCAATGTAGGCTACATTTAGCAATATACATTATATTTTTCTCATCGCACTCGTTACAAAACACTCTGTGTACGAAGAGAATATAAATAAGCTTAGAAACCTTAAACAACGCTAGTTATTCATGAATTGAAAAAAATTTCCAAGACGAATCATTGTTTTAATAAGTAGAGCAAGTAGTATTCTAACATAGTTTTTATTTTTATTTTTTCAAAAATAAGTGTTTGACTTATTTATTATAAGGGAAACTTATGTGCGCGCGTTCGGTCATGCAGATAAGGAGAATGCATGCGGTAGTAGACAGTATATATTAAAGAATAAGGAGAATGCAGCTGCCCACCTATGGAAAAAGACCATTCATTGCCTATTCACCTTATTTTTATCATGTTATTTTTATTTAATTACTTTAAAGTAATAATAAAACTAAAAGGAATCTCTTGTTTCTCAAGAGGATGGTTTAGCGCAGTTCACATTCGAGATGGGCAATTAAAAGATTTTGAATTATCAACACAGTAAGCAACATGGACGTGTGCGAAAAATGAAAATTGTCAGAACGTTCCGTGAAGGTCGATTTAAAATTCTGACTAAATTATTAGAAAGTATCATTGGTGAGGCTACCAAGAAACAACGCCTAAAGAGCCATCACAATCTTGATATATTTATAAATAGGTAGAAGCGTTTACCTTACTAGCAACCCAATCCCAAGTCACAAAGGTTGATTTATATTTGTCCTTCCACTGAAGTTTCACAGTAATAGTGTACATATTATACATCATCCTTTTCTAATTGCAATGGCTTCATCATCCTCATCAAGCAGTTCTTCATCTTCAACGACATCGAAATATGATGTGTTTGTGAGTTTCAGAGGAGAAGACACACGCTACAACTTCACTGATCATCTTTATGCTGCTCTTCAAAGAAAAGGCATTGTTGCCTTCAGAGATGATACAAAGCTCAAGAAAGGCAAATCCATAGCACCTGAGCTCTTACAAGCAATTGAAGGGTCTCAAATTTATATTGTTGTCTTCTCAAAGAACTATGCTTCCTCAACATGGTGCTTGCGAGAACTCACTAAGATCCTCGATTGCGTTCAAGTATCAAGAAAATATATTCTGCCTATTTTCTATGATGTTGATCCATCTGAGGTGAGAAAACAAAATGAGGGTTACGAGAAAGCATTTGGTGAACATGAAGAAAGATTCAAAGAAGATTCAGAGATGATGGAGGAAGTGAAAAGATGGAGAATTGCTCTGAAAGAAATAGCCAATCTCTCTGGTTGGGATGTACGGTATAAGTAAGTGCTCATGGTTTATTCATGTGCAAAAACTTAATTATAAGCAATTTAAGATAAATTTGTTCTACACTTATATTGCTTTTTTCTTGCTGATTTTGTCTTCTTGGATTTATTATCCCTTCTCAAACTAGAGTTGAGAGAGTAATCCATAATCTTTTAATTGCTTTATGAACAGAGCTTTACAAAAGAAAAGAAAAAGAAAAATACTTTGTTCTCTTGTCCTTTTCATGTACTTTTTGTTTTGGTTTTGTTAAGGTTTTGACCTAGTATATTTGAATTTCTTTAAACTTTCAGGCCACAAAATACAGAGATTGAAAAAATTGTTAAAGAGATAATAAGTATATTGGCTCACAATTTTTCAAGTCTTCCAAATGATCTAGTTGGGATGCAATCTCCTGCAGAAGAATTAGAAAAGCTTCTAGCTTTAAGCTCAGTTAATGCGGTTAGGGTTGTAGGAATTTGTGGGATGGGTGGAGCAGGAAAGACAACTCTTGCTACAGTGTTGTGGGATAAAATATCTCATCAATTTGATGCTTGTTGTTTTATTGTTGATGTATGCAAGTCTGATGTCATTGATACACAAAAGCAACTTCTACAGCAAGCTCTAAATAAAGAAAACCTTCATATATTTAATCCTTTTTTGGCAGCTGATTTGATACGTCGTAGGTTACGTTATGTAAGGGCCTTTATAGTTCTTGATAATGTTGATCAAGTTGAACAATTGGAGAAACTAGGCGTGAATCGTGAATGGTTAGGTGCAGGGAGCAGAATCATCATAACTTCTAGAGACTTGCATATCCTAAGAAAGTATGGAGTGGATGATGTTTACACCGTTAAACTCTTGAATGCTGACAATGCTCTTCAATTGTTTAGTAGAAAAGCTTTCAATTGTGATAATATTGGGAGAGATTACAAAGTCTTATCATATGAAGTACTAGAATATGCGAAGGGCCTTCCATTGGCAATTAAAGTATTGGGCTCATTTTTGTTTGGTCGAGATATCCATGAGTGGAGAAGTGCATTGGCTAGATTGAGAGAAAATCCAAGCAAAGATATCATGGATGTGCTCCGAATTAGTTATGATGGATTGGAAGAAATGGAGAAAGAAATATTTCTGGATATCGTTTGTTTCTTCAATGGGCACAAGCTGCTTAATGTTGAGAAATATAATAGCCCATATTAATTAATTAGGAAATCAAGTGTAATTAATTAATTAAACATGTTTTAGTGAATGAAATTAAGTATAAGGCTTAATTAAATGAATCTGAGTCACTTTGGAGTTAAAAAGTGTACTCAGTGAAAATTAAGGGGTATAAATGGGTACTGGTGAAAGTGCCCAAAATATAAAAATAAAAATAGTAATATTCCTAGAATAATATTCCAGACTTTTGGGTAAAGTTTGGTAATTATTGGAGTTAAATAGATAGACGAACCAATACCCACATGTTACCACTTAACCAATGTTAAGTGATAAAGTAACCAAAAAGAACCCAAAACCCCCCATTTCCCCGTCGACGCCAGAAATAGAAAAGAAGGAGAAAGAACAACCCACGGCGACGGAGGAGAACGGGAGAGAGAAGAAGAGAGAGAGGAGGGAGCAAATCCCAACCGATTGGAGTGATTCAAAAGCCTAAACCACTCTAAATCTTCCCCTCTTTCATAATCCTAGCTTTGTTTTGAGTGGGGAGCATTGTGGAGAGAGATATTACCTCTCAAAAATTCGGCCCTTTGGTGAAAATTGGGGTTTTGAGAGTTTCTACCTCCATTGAAGCTTGAGGAGCCATAAATCCTTGGTTGTGTGACCATTGGTGGTAAGATTCTAACCCTTGAACCTCATGATTCCTTGAAATTTGCATGAGTTAGGGTTTGTGAATAGTAAATTGGGATTTTTATGAAATGTAGTTGAATTAGCTATGTTCTAGGAAGAATGGAGCTTAGAGCATGTTATGGAAAATGCTAGGAATGTCATTTAATCGGTGGAAATGAGCCTAGATAGTCATTTGATAATTGTTCATAATATTGGAAAATTCATGCTTGGATTGGTTAGTATTCTAGCATGTTGAACAATTAGTGAGTTGAATGATTGATTGGATCCTTGTGATGTCTAGGATTGAGACATTTGGACCAACCGTGAGTGATCAACCGTTGGAGCAAGCTATGGAGCTTGAATAGCTCATTGGAATTGGTAAGCTCACACTTGTGTGGTGTTTTGAATTGAACATTTGATGGTTGATTGTGAAATACTCTGGGAGGCAATGTGTTGATTGCATTACACCATGTGTAGGTGTATGTTTGTAAAAGTTGATTGCTGAAACTGTTGGTGAAGAACAAAGGTTGACTGAAGCATTGAGGTAAGCCTTCGGACCTTGGGTGTAATTCCCTTGACTGTTCTACCAAGCCCTGAAAGGGTGGAGGTTGTGATTGTGTATATAAATGCAATAAAATAGTGTAATGCTTTGTTATACGTATATGTATGCATTTGGTGTGGCATAGGATGGTGTTTCCCTATGTTGGTATGTGGCATGACGATGCGTAAATCATACTTGGTAGTTAGCTGGCCAGTAGGACTATTTGCATCTGAGTTTCCTTAGGACAGCTTGAGAGCTCGAGGGATTTCTCCTGGAGATGTATTGCACTTTGCATAGATATGTATTTACTGCATTATTATTGTTATTGCTATTACACTGATATGGAACTGTGGGGTGGAGAGATGCTCCAAGGACCCCTGGTTTACTGGATATATTCGTATATCTCACCCCGTGTTGTGGGGACCCCCTTTCAGGAAAGGATGCTGCAGGAGCCTCTGGTGGCAAGTGGCCATATCTGGATTATGCATGAAATATGGCATTTCTTTGAGTTTATGCATGCCTTTTGTAGTTGACATGTATATGATTTTATTTTGAAAGCCCATGGTCATATGTATATCTTGATTCATTGGATGAACTTAGCCTATGCTCATGCCTTTGGTTACACCTATTGTTGATGGGAGCCAAGGGAATGATCATAGTGTTTTGTAAGCTAAGTTCTATGATTTGTAAAGGATATGTAATGTAAATGATGTCTACTTGGAATTCAATATATGCATGCTTGTTATGTATTGAGTTGTTGAATTGGTTGGGCTGAAAATCAATTAGGTACCCTCTTCGTTTAAACTGGTAAACGATGAGAAAACAAAGGTCATGCTGCCCAAATTCTAGCTAAATCTCATGAGGAGAGGTTGGATGAGTGCTAGGATTTAGTTTTGGGGCATGGACAATTGAGGTTTGTAATGGGGATGCACTTCCCCCTAGGTTTGGACTTGAGAAATGTGGGAATTGGAATTCCCTGGCAGCGCGCTTAAGCGCCCAGGAGCGCGCCCAAGCGCCCTGCTGCCCCTGCGAGTGCCAATGCATTCTGCCTCCTCGCGCTGGAGCGCCCAAGTGGGGGCTTAAGCGCTCAGGATTGCGCGCTGGAGCGCCCTGGCGTGCGCTTAAGCGCCCCTTGCTGCAGAAAGTTGGGTGGCTTACTGCCCCCTCGTGTTTTAGCGCCCAGGGTGGGGCTTAAGCGCCCAGGGTTGCGCGCTTGAGCGCCCCGGTCCGCGCTTAAGCGCCCTTCGCCACTGAAGGAGGAGATGCTTCTGTCTCTGCGCGCTAAAACGTCCCCGTGGGAGCTTGAGCGCCCAGGATAGCGCGCCTGAGCGCCCTGTTGCGCGCTTAAGCGCCCATCCACACTGGAATGCCTGATGCTTACTGCCTCCGTACGCTTAAGCGCCCAGATGGAGGCTTTAGCGCCCGATAGCGCGCGCTTGAGCGCCCGGTAGCGCGCTGAAGCGCGCTGGGCCTGTGACCAACACTCTCTTGTGTTGCTTCAAATTGTCCTAACTTGGACTGCAGTGCTCCGATTTGAGCACGGTTTGAAGCCACAGGTAGCTAATGAAGAAACCTACAATATAGTAGAAGATGTGAACTAAATAAGAAGTAAATTAATGATTTAAAAATGGAATGAGAACATGATGTTAAGCTTAATTGATATGATTCCGCAAGGTAATACGGTTATGATCACGGAATTGGGTATTATAAAGTCGGTATATTTTAAAATGAAAAATTTATCCGGATTTTAATTGAACCCATGTGATTGTAACTGCGCTTAATATCATAATGCGATGTTAACAAACCGGTTCTAGAACGGGGTGTTACATTTTATGGTATCAGAGCAGTTTCGTTGGGAATAACTGTTAGCTATTGTTGAGTATGCTTAGTGTTTGATGCTTTATAGTTGTTTTAGTACTCTGTATGATTATTGCATTTGTGATCACTAAGTGTGGGCCTGATCAACTCACTTCTTTGTGTAACATGTGTAGTGACATGACGAGGAACCGAAACAACCCCGGACCATCAAACACCAATGCTCAGCCAGAACCTGTTTTGGCTGCTCTTGTGAGGCCTAGAAGTGGCCGTGGGGCAACGGGCGTACAGCCTGATCCCGTGGCTGAAGCTCTTGCAGCCGTTCAGAGAGAGTTGGCTGCTAGCAGGCAAGACAATGAAAATTTGTTAAAGACAAATGAAGACTCGCGGACTGCTATGGCCGCGATGATGACCGAGTTGAGGACGTTGAGGGGTCCTAGGCCCGTGAACCGGCAACCCACTCCTCCTCCTCACACTGCTACGCCTTCTCCACCTCCTTCACAGGAAGAGGGTGGAGTGGGTAACAATGAGGGTGAAGGTAGTCACCACTCTGGGAGTCTGAGTCATCACACCGAGGTTCGTCAACCTCAAGTTGAAAATGTCGGCGATCATGAAATGGAGGAAAGGAGATTGATGGCTTTCCGAAAACATAAACCCCCTTCTTTTAAGGGAGGTTATGAGCCAATGGCGGCTGCAAAATGGCTCCAAGCTATGGAGAAGATATTCAGGGTGATGAGGTGCCCTGACGCAATGAAGTTGGCTTACTCTGTTTATATGCTGGAAGAGGAAGCAGAAGATTGGTGGACAAATACCGTGCAGCCATTAGAAGCTGAAGGTCGGGAGATCACATGGCGGTTATTCGAGACATTGTTCTTGGATAACTACTTCCCTAGAGAGGCTAGGGAACAAAAGCAGAATGAGTATAACGATCTCAAACAAGGGTCGATGTCTATTGACCAATACTTCTCAAAATTCAATGAGTTGGTGAAATACGCCAACTATGGGCGAGCCTTACCCACCCCGGCTGAAATGACCTCCAAGTTCCAATGGGGTCTTAATGAGAAGATGTCTCGGAAGATGTCAAATTGTGACATCCGAGAGTTCAGTCGGTTTGTAAACCAGTGTAGAAAGGTGGAAGAAGTGTATAAGGTGTCCCAAACCAAGAAGTCTTCTGAGGCTCAGGCACCTAGTTCTCATAAAGCAACGGGCTCCGGTTATTGGAAGAACAGGAAGGTGCAAGGCAAGAAGCTGAATGCGAATAAGCCCTTTGACTTGTTCAAAAAACTCGGTACTCAGAAGAAGTTTGTTGATAGAGGACCTCCTCCCAAGTGCAAGGGATGTGGCAAAGAGCATAGAGGTCCATGTGCTACTGGTGAGGTGATTTGCTTTAAATGTGGAAGATCCGGTCACTACTCCAGGCAGTGTCCTCAGAATGAAGCAAGAACTATGGCAGTTCAAGCTACTGCCGTTCCGGTCTCTGTTGTTCAACCTATGCTAGAGTCTCAGACGGTTGGTAGAGTATATACCATGGACCGTCAACAATCGGAGAAGGCTCCGAATCTAGTGAAAGGTACAATTTACATTGATAATATGGATGTAGAAGTGTTGTTTGATTCAGGAGCTACACACTCCTGTATGTCTGATTTTATGGCCGTTGGGCTAAATTTGCAAATGTATGACATTCGCCCTCCAATGAAAGTGGTTACTGCTACTGGAGAGGAGTGTTATACATCCGTGTTGTGTAAAGATGTTGAGTTCAAATATGAAGGCCGAGATTACGTGCTGGATTTTATTTGTTTACCTATGATCAGCCTTCAAGTTATCTTGGGTATGGACTGGTTGTCAAAGAACTGTGCTATGATAGACTGCTGCGGTAAAAGGATTGTGCTTGATGCTGATGATTCTGCTACTAGTTCTTCCCCATATCTATCTGTGTTGCAGGTTAGAAAGGCTTTGAGGGCCGGGGCATTGGGATATGTCTTTGTGGGGGGTTTAGTAGGCGGAAGTCATGAGGAGATTG